TATATAAACATAAAAAAGTCTTAATACATACACACACATACACACACACACACACACATATATATATATATGAGTTAATTTTGTAATTTATGTAATACTATTTATATGCTCTGTTATAATAAATGCACTGAGGTTTTTTTTGTAGATGAGTTTTAAAATTTTATATTACTGGGATCCTCTTGGATTATATACCAACGGATTTATTACTTGTACTATATATATATATATATATATATATATATATATATATATATATATAAAAGAAATATAATCTTAAGGTGTACTATATTTATGGAATAAAGTGCTCAATATCAGAGATAGAGCGTGTGTAAATATAAAAGTGAACATAGAAGTCAACACTTAGAGGGCGACAGTCTGTTTCATGCTATATGCAATCGTAAGACCACCTGTCGATTGCATATAGCATGAAACAGACTGTCGCTATATATATATATATATATATATATATATATATATATATATATATATATATATAGATAGATAGATAGATAGATAGATAGATAATGATAATATTAGTGGTAAATATACGCATACATATACAATCATATATCTAAAATATATAAATATATATATATATACATACACATATATATATATATATATATATATATATATATATATATATATATATATATATATATATATATATATATATATATATATGTATGTATAAAAATAATTCAAGAGGAAAGAATCGAGGTAGAACTCAATGTCCAGGACAGAGTAAGTATATAAAAAAAGCTTATCTATATATATATATATATATATATATATATATATATATATATATATATATATATATATATATATATATATTGTAAAAAAGAAAGAAAAGTAAGATATTTAATTCGGTGTTCTTATTGATATTTTACAGTGCTCAATGTAAATTTACAGACCATATATATATATATATATATATATATATATATATATATTGAAGAGCGTATATAATAATGTGTACATATATTATATCAGTATTAATTTGAATCTGTCCTACTGTATGGATCAGAACCATGGATATTATCTATTCATCTTGAAAGACGACTGGATGGAATATAAACAAATCTACTTAGAAAAATCCAGGCTATCAGTTGGAGATCCCATGCAAACCTAACACAATTTAGGGACATCTGAGTCCAATCTGCCTTAAGCCCAAACCAAATATTACAGTTTGCCGGCCAAGGACAGGGAAATCGTCTCATTCTTACGCCTATGCCATCCCTTTGGTAATGGCTTCTCACTAAAATTGACTTTCTCAGACACCATAGCTCGGGACTCAGGGTCGAACGCTGGGGACGGTAATGCAGAACCGAACAATGTGGAAAGTGATCGACAATGGACTTCCGACCAACCATATTGGGGGTCGAAGGATGATGATGATGACTATTAGAAAGAAAATAAAATAAATAAATAGATTTCTTTTTTGTGTGGCCTTTCTTCTCAAAAGCCGTTACACATGGCATCACGTGGCACGTGACGTACACCTGACGTCACGCGAGATCATTTCAAATGTTCAGCTTCGCAAAGAATTCTAGGATGTAAACAAAGGAATTTTAACTACCACACAGACAACATATCGATTCTTGTTAATGATTGCGATACTCCGAGTAAAAAGTATGAACTTCAAGCACCATATTGGACATCGTATGCAAAAAAACAACCTGACCTTGTCGGTTCGTTTGGATGAATACTTGCTTATATATATATATATATATATATATATTGTTGTGTATGATACACCTAATTTACATAAGTGGAGTACCGACCATATAAATATGGGTTGGTACCGGAAGACGGGGGAAAAGAGATTGTAAGAAGAGATCGAATCGAGAGACTCTGCCCGACTGCGATTTAGTCAACCTATTATGCAGGAACAGTCTTCCCAAGAATATACCAAAACTAACTGTAAATATTGTGTACCTTTTCCTTGTTTCAATACATTTTGTTAACGTACATTTTGTGTTGTATTATTATTATTCCATGCTTATCCAAGTTTCAACATATATATATATATATATATATATATATATATATATATATATATATATATATATATATATATATATATATATATGTAACTATACTTGTTTCGAAAAACCTTCGAAGTTTTGATTTGCCAATAATCAAATCAATCTCGAAGGAAAAAACTGTTTTAAAAAAAAGAAAGAGCTAGAAACATGAAAGTCTGTCGAAAAAAAAAAATCCTTTGAATACAGGTTCAAAGCCCAAAGAAAAAAAAATATATATATTCATACATGTTTCATTAAATAATATACACACGTGTTGTCTATTTATTTTATGGAAATTCTTTTCATATCGTCTGATAAGCTTAATAATATTATCATTAAAAGACAAATGAAAATCACCATATTGATACATATTTTTTAATCCTATCTAAGCTTTCGGCTTACATAAGCCATTATCAAAGATGACAATTACATTGCACTACATTAACCAATACACGGACAAAACAATAATGATAGTCTGTTTATGTTTACATGGATGATTTCCAAGCAACGACAAACTCGTGCATACAGGACGCTGGAAGCGAAAATCGCACCGCAGCTCATTGTTCTCTTCATTGTGTAAGTAATCTGCTACAAATATTTCCTTTCAAATCCCAGAACGCTTACATCAAGTTTATATCCCTATCTCTTAATTCCAGCATCCTCATCTTGATTGCTACTCTTACAACGTTTCAGGCATCGTACATACCACCTCTGGCCTTCTTTAATTGTCTCTCCTCATGCAGGTAAGCTTGCCAAGTTAGTTGAGGAAAGCAAGAAGAAAGGACTAATTCATAACTGTAAGAAGACAGAATGCTCACTTGTCAGCAATTTATATCATGAATTACCATCTGTTTCTTTTGTTCCGTGTCACAATTAGTATAAAAAAATAAAAACAAAAAAACTGCCCCCCCCGCAAAAAAAAAATTCAATATGAATTATCTCCTCTTGCCAGGCATTTAATAGTTACCTTTTCTTGTCACGCATTTAAGTACAACTGCGAAAACGTAACAGCTTCAAATAGTTTTATTAGTAGAAAATTCCAGTCGAATCCATTACATTCACTTACGTGCTAATACACACCGGAAAGAAATGAATCCTCTTCTAAAAAAGCTATGGGTAAATAGCAGGACAGACTGGGTTCTATAGCCTTGGATGGCAACTGGTCTACCGCAGAAAGAAATGCCAACCTACTGCGGAAAAAAATCTGCCTCGTCAGTCATGTATCGAAAGATACATGATCGCCTAAGCATGTATAACGTATGGCACATAACTGACTGAAATTCACTTACGTGCTAATACCCTTGGGAAAGGTATGGATCTTCTTCTTTGCCTCCCACCTATTGGTAAATAGCTGGACAGACCGGGTTCTATAGCGTTGGGTGGCAACTGGTCTACTGCAGAAAGAAATGGCAACCTAATGCGGAAAAAATCTGCCTCGTCAGTCATGTATCGAAAGATACATGATCGCCTACGCATGTATCATGTATGACACATAACTGACTGAAATTCACTTACGTGCTAATACCCTTGGAAAAGGTATGGATCTTCTTCTTCTCCTCCTCAGATATGGGTAAATAGAGAGACAGACAGGGTTCTATAGCCTTGGATGGCAACTGGTCTAGTGCAAAAAGAAATGGCAACCTAATGCGGGAAAAAAATCTGCCTCGTCAGTTATGTATCGAAAGATACATGATCGCCTAAGCGTGTATCATGCATGGCACATAACTGAGTTTCTGTTTTGGAAAAATGGTACAATGAAATCGAGGAATTTTTGGTGAGTTGTGATCTCTCCCTGTTGGTCCTGAGAGATTAGCTATTATTATAAGTATTAGGAAAACATTTTCTATCGATCTGAGATTGTATGTACTTTGTCCGTATAGTTATGTTCATTTCTTGTCACTGAGAATTCCGTCTTGCTTTGTTAAAATCTCCATATTTTTAATCTTTATTTTTGCCTCAAATAACCCGAGTGTCTTGTATATCACCCGAGCGAAATATAAAAATTGAGATAATTGGAAGTCGTATTTTGCTTCTCCATCGGAACATTTCTCTACAAGATATCATAGTTCGTCAAAGACAGCAATTTTCTGCAAAAAGCGAAAACATGTCTCTTGTTTATTGACGCCATCTTTCATTATTGCTTTTTCTCTTTACTTTCCGTTCCTTTATGTGCGCATGCGCGTGTGATTTTTTTTTTTTTTTTACATTTCCATTTCTTTTTCTTTTTTTTTTTTTTTATTCAGCGACGTAAGCGGCCCGTGGCAATTATCCTCTTTTTTTCCTATCTTGATTGTTCTCGAAAGGACATTCCAAACGACTAACGACTATTTGCTTTGTTTTTACGCAGTTCCATCCTGATAATGAGGAGGAGGATGTTTTCATTAATTTTTTTTTTTCCGTTCGTCTTTCGTCGTAGCCCCAAGAGATTTTCTGATTTCAACTCTTCTATTTTTCTTTACGGATACAAAGACAATGTCATATTTTAGACGGTAATTGTTTTAATCGATCTTAACATCAAAACGTCGCGTCAGGTGACGCTGATTTTGTTAGAAACTAATTTTGTAGGTAATAAATCATGAATTAACACACCAGGGACATGTGGCATAATTTTTTTTTATTAATTGATTCGTTTTTTTACGGTTTATCAACCCACTGAAGTGTATTTAAAGCCAGAAAATAATTTTAGATTGTAAGAAACTGTAGGTGAAAAATTATTATCTCCAGGCAAATTCTTACAATCTAAAATTAACTAGTAAGATTTGTACAAATAAAGCATTAGTGTTTAGTTATACAAATCTTACTAGTTAACCCACAGGTGGGGGGAAGAGGAGGATTAATATCTTTTTCAACCGTATTTGCCTGTAAGCGAATATAACGAACCCGAATGGAGATTGAACGACGAGAATTGGTTCTCGGCTCTTCGATTAACAATTCCGAGCCATTAACCATTGTACCACCCGTACACCCAAGCTTACAGCACCTGGTATTCCTAAGCCCTTATCCATCCAGGTACTAACCAGGCTCAGCGTTGCTTAACTACAATGATCATACGAGAACCGGTGCTTTTGCAAATGAAAAATTATATGAAATTAATTTTAAAGTGTGAATTTAATTTTTTTTAAATTTGAAAATCTAAGAAATTTGAAATTACGTTGAAATTACTTTTAAACTTTTACTATATATATGGAAATATTTAAATAATAAAATCATTTATGTTAACTCAGTAACAATGAAACAACTTTTTTTTTTTACAGTTAGGGTTACCCTTTGCAAGGCCTGGGGGCCACTCGATGTAGAGGATTACGTTAGAAGGCCATTTGGATGTATAGATGAGGGAGATAATGATTAACCTTGGCCTTAAATAGGTAAAGATTGTAGTGATCGGAGAAACATCCAGTTGCGAATCGGTTCCACAGGGCAATGGTCCTCGGGAAGAAGCTACTCGAGTGGAACTTACTTCTCACCGATGGAATACGGAGGCAATGTGGGTGGTTTGCTACGATGTAAGTGGTATGGCGTCTTCTTGCCGTGAAGGTTTGACTTGGCGGAAGAATTTCAGAGAATGTAGTTCGACCGAGCACTTTCTGCGGAAGTAGCGGTAAAGCAGCAAGAGGCTTGCCACGCTCCGCCTGTGGGAGACAGGTTGAAGGGTGCTATGTCAACACCATTTCATGCCTTTTGTAGCTCTTAATAAATATTGTCTTTTTGTTATCTCTCCTTGTTCGTCCATCCATTTCTTCTTCTTCTTCTTCTTCTTCTTCTTCTTCTTCTTCTTATTATTATTATTATTATTATTATTATTATTATTATTATTCTCTGTGCTATGTATCTTCAGGATGTAGGGGATCATAGCTCTCCACATTTTCCTGCCGTTTGTAGCTCTTAATAAATACTGTGTTTTTGTTATCTCTCCTAAACATTGTTCGGCCATATATTTCTTCTTCTTCTTCTTCTTCTTCTTCAACAGTAAAGTTCACCTTTTACAAGGCGCGGGGTCACTTGACTATTTGTGTGCGTCAGAGGGGGAACATAACGGTTGACCCTGGCCTTGAACAAGTTAAGATTGTACTGATCGGGGAAACATCCCGTCGGGAGTCGGTTCCACAGGGCAGTGAACCTACTCGAGTGGAACTTACTTCTCACCGATGGAATACGGAGGCAATGTGGGTGGTTTGCTACGATGTAAGTGGTATGGCGTCTTTTTGCAGTGAAGGTTTGCCTCAGTGAGACCAGGGAATTTAGTTCATCCGGGCACTTTCCATGGATGTACCGGTAGGGCGACGAGAAGCTTGCCACATGCCGCCTGTGGGAGAGAGGTTGAAGGGTGGGAAGACAATTCGATACCCACAAGGGACCGTAGACGCTTTTGAAGTATATCACGCCTGGAGAGCGAGGTCATGGCAGCTCCTGCCTAAATTTGACAACGGTAATCTGGCATTTGTAAAGGTAGTGGATAGCAGAATGAGTTAGTTGCTTACTGGAGTGATGCAGTGACCCGACCATTTTACCTTAGCAACGGATCGCCACCCCCATGCGATATTTGTGATCATGAGATCAGGGGGGAGTGTAGTGATAATTGGAACGAAAATATTCCAATTATCACTACAAGTTCCACATGAGGTCGGGTGTGAGGTTGAGGCCCAAAAGTCTTTCAAGGCAGAGTTCCTCCTTGAGAGGACCTCCGTTTATCCTGATAGTTACTCCTGTCTTTAAATAATAAGTCTAACCAGTTCGGTAAAAGGTCAAATTGGCAACCGGTCTTAAAATAGCCAACAATCTGTTGTTAAATGGGGCAAGTAATGGCTTCTTAGATTTAACACTTGCAAAACGAACTTGCTTACTTGGAATCGTCTGAGAAAACATTTTTTGCCTTCCATCAACATGACTAATGCTAAAGCTGGCAGGAGAGTATTTCACTGTACCTTCTCGAGCTAACGTTTTTCGCTGACATGTGGTGGAAAGATTATATTGAATCAATCTCAGTTTCCTCTTTGTCTTTGGACAAAGTGCGCTCAGGGGCTTCTCCGTCAAAGGACCGAGATGCAACTGAGGTAAATAATACTGGGAGGTACCCAGCCCTGGGGAACAGCTGCCCGAGGCCGCACCCTCCCATTGCACCAGAGGGAGGTATCGGTGTTCGCAACGACGCATGCGCAATTGATGGTTGCGGGGGGTGAGGGGAATTTTTGTTCCTGTCCCGGGAGTACGCGCTCGGGCCCCCACCTAAAAACAGACCTTCTGTCACATCTCGTCCAAGTTGGGGTAAGGATTTAATACCGCTTATAGATTACGACACAGAAGGATTTCGTTGGTAACAAAGAAAAGAGTCCTGAACTACTACGTGATACAGGTCGGGGACACTAAAATCAAGCAGGTGCGGAAATTTAAATATCTGGGAAGTTTTTTGACAGACGACGGCAAAAGCGACACTGAGATCCGAAGACGTATTGGGATGGCCAAAGACGAATTCCCATACCTAGGCAGAATATTACGAGACAGAAGGATTTCTTTGGTAACAAAGAAAAGAGTCCTGAACTACTACGAGATACAGGTCGGGGACACTAAAATCAAGCAGGAGCGGAAATTTAAATATCTGGGAAGTGTTTTGACAGAGGACGGCAAGAGCGACACTGAGATCCGAAGACGTATTGGGATGTCCAAAGACAAATTCCAAAAGAGATTTCCAAAGAAAGAGTCCTGAACTACTACGTACAGGTCAGGGACACTAAAATCAAGCAGGTGAGGAAATTTAAATATCTGGGATGTTTTGACCAAAGACGATACTTCCGAAGACGTATTGGGATGGCAAAGACGCATTCAAAAGCGAGACGAGACAGAAGGATTTCTTTGGTAACAAAGAAAAGAGTCCTGAACTACTACGAGATACAGGTCGAGGACACTAAAATCAAGCAGGGGCGGAAATTTAAATATCTGGGAAGTGTTTTGACAGAGGACGGCAAGAGCGATACTGAGATCCGAAGACGTATTGGGATGGCCAAAGACGCATTCCAAAAGCTAGGCAGAGATTACGAAGGATTTCGTTGGTAACAAAGAAAAGAGTCCTGAACTAATACGAGATACAGGTCGAGGACACTAAAATCAAGCAGGGGCGGAAATTTAAATATCTGGGAAGTGTTTTGACAGAGACGGCAAAGAGCGATCCCGAAGACGTATTGGGATGGCCAAAGACAAATTCCAAAAAGCTAGGAAGACTATTACGAGACAGAAGGATTTCGTTGGTAACAAAGAAAATAGTGCTGAACTGCTACGTGATATCTGTCCTCCTTTACGGCAGCGAATGCTGGACTGTCTCCTCAAAGATGAAGAAGAGTAATGCCCCTATGACTTCCAACAACACACGACTCGCGTGTTGTTGGAAATCCTCAAGTGATGGGATTCTAGTTAATTGGTTCAATTCTTTATTGATAATTCGCTGGTACCATTCCACAAGGATCGCAGAAGAATGCTCCCCGTTGTAGCCTCCAGGCGTCATTCGCCCGAGGCCGTATTTTAAAGTGGTTGTTTTCCGCTTACATTTTAGATATTTTTAACGAGTTTAGCGCCATGCATGGTAGACTTGACTTGACGTGGCTCTTTAAGAACCTGACTCAAGTTTTTAGGTCAGTATTTTGGAAGAAGGGACTAAGCATAAACTACAAGAAAACAGAATGTATGGTCATCAGTAAAAGGATCAGCCCGAAATGCGATTTGCAGACTCAGAAGGATAAATATCTGAGAAGCTTCCTGACAGAGGACGGTAAATGCGACACGGAGATCCGTAGACGTTTTGGTATGGCCAAGGACGCCTTCCAAAAGCTGGGCAGAGTACTACGAGACAGAAGGATTTCTTTGGTAACAAAGAAAAGAAATACTGAGCTATTACGTGGCATCTGTCCTCCTTTAGGGCAGCGAATATTTGACGATTTCCTCAAAGATGAAGAAGAGACTAGAGGCGACGGAAGTATGGTTCTACAAGAGGATGCTGAGGATTCCATAGACGAAACGTGTGAGCAACGATGTGGTTTTGGAGAGGAGGCAGACAAGGAGGAAGCTTATATTAAACATCAGGAAGAGGAAGATGAAATTTCTGGGACACGTAATGAGAGTAAGAGGGCTTGGAGAATCTGATACTCACAGGTCGCATAGAGGGAAAGAGAGACAAGAGAAAGCAACGCATGATTTGCCTGGCGGGCTTGAGAAAGTGGATGACAGACCCTGGTCTGGGGGAAGTGGCAGAGGGACGAAACTTATTGAGAGCCACAATGGATAGGGAAAAGTGGAGAGCCATGATCACCCACGTCCCGAAGGGACACAGCACATAAGAAAGAATGGATTCTTTGCAGTATCGGTGATCAATTCAACTAGAAAAATTGAAAACAAATAAAATGTATCTAAATGCAGTATCTCTCTATATTTCTGAGATGATGTGATGTAATTATTTACACTATTTACATGATTTGGACTGTTGTCTTCATATTTGTTGCCATATTCACGACGTTTCGACCATTATACGCTCAGGCCTTCTTATGTCTACAAAGAAGAGGACAACAGTCCGAACAATGTAAATAGTGCGAATAATCTAATTACATATTAGAGACATGTCATAATAGATCATTCCATTTTAAATATATTCGAAAAGGTTTTGCGATAATTTTTAACATCAACTTGATGATTTTTCATCTTTAAGCGTTCAAGAATTTTAACACATTCAACATTATGGTTCTTACCAAATCTAGGATACCGCCCCCCCACTACCCAATCTACTATGTCTTAGTTTTCATAAGGTACTATTCATATAAAATACAAATTTTATTGGAACCGAATTATGTACAATAATGGATCATATGCAATATAGATGAAGAATTCAACTAGAAAAAGTGACCGTGTGAGTTCAATACCTGTTTAAGACAATGGAGAACTTTCAGAGGGAAATTAACAGGAGATAACTGATATCCATTAGACATGGCACGTGGAACTAGTGAGCGAAATAAAAGGTTAAGTTCCACATTCCAACCACCTGAAGAAGGCCGAAACGTACAACGGCCGAAACGTTATAATAACTATGGCA